TGGTCATTAAGAAGACAAAGAAGAAAGAGAAGACCAAAATGGATGTCTGAAGAAACACTAAAACTTGCTTTCCAGCATGGAGATGCTAAAGCAAATGGAAGAAGTGAGGAGGTAAAAGAGCTGAATAGAAAATTTCAAAGGGCAGCTCAAGAAGACAAAGTCAAATACTATAATGAAATATACAAAGATCGGGAGTTAGAAAACCGAAAGGGAAGAACATGCTCAGCATTTCTTAAGCTGAAAGACTGAAAAAAAAAAAATTCAAACCTAAACTTGAAATATTGAAGGATTCTATAGGCAAAATTTCGAATTATTCAGAAAGCATCAAAATAATTTGGAAGGAGTAAAACTGATGATCTGCCCTGTAAACTTTTACTCAATTCACAATAAAAATTTCGAAAACGAATAAAGAATATGGAAGGAATAGACATAGTCACTGTATCAACAAGATATGGTCAGTTTTCAACCATTTCAAGAGCTAGCATATGATCAAAAGCCAATGATAATGAAAGAAGAAGTCCAAGATGCACTGCACACACTGGCAAAGAAGAAAGCCCTGGAAACTGATGGGATACAAATTGAAATATTTCAACAAATTGATGAATTTATGCCAAGAAATTTGGAAGATATCTATGCCAAGAAATTTAGAAGACAGCGCCCTGGACAACTGATTGGAAAAGATCCACATTTTTGCCCATTCCAAAGAGAGGTGATACAACAGAATTTGGAAATGATTGGACAATATGATTAATATCACATGCATATATAATTTTGGTAAAGATAATTCAAAAACAACTGCAGCAGAACGTTGACAGAAAACTGTCACAGGTTCAAACAGGATTTAGAGTAGGAGGTGTAACGAGGGATATCATTGCTGATGTCAGATGGATCTTGACTGAAAGCGGAGAACAACAGAAAGATGTTTATCTGTCCTTTATTAACTATGCAAAGGCTTTGACTGTGTGGATCATGACAAGCTATGGACAACATTGAAGAGAATGAGTATTGAGGAACACTTAATTGTGATCACTTAGAGTAAAAGGCAATCGTTCGAACAGAACAAGGGGACACTAAACAATGGTTTAAAATCAGGAAAAGTGTGTGTCAGGAAAGTATTTTCTCAGTATTTATTCAATCTGTATGCTGAGCAAATAATCCTAGAATTGGGATTATGTGAAGAAGAATGTAGTAGCAGTGGGATTGAAATAAGACTTAGTAACAATCTGCAATAGCAGATAACACCTTGTCTGCTGAAATGGAAGAGGACTTAAAATACTTACTGATGATGGTCAAAGACCAGACCCTTTGGTATGGGTTGTACCTCAGTATAAATAAAGTAAAAATCCTCACAACTGGATTAATAAATACCATCATGATAAATGGATAAAATATTGAAGTTGTCAAAGACTTCATTTTGCTTGAATCCACTATCAACAATTATAGAAGAAGCAGTCAAGAAATTTAAAAACACATTGCATTAGGCAAATCTATTGCACAAGACTTCTTTAAAATGTTCAAGAACAAAGATGTCAGTTTGAATATTAAGGTGCTCCTGATACAAGTCATGGCATTTTCATTTGCTTAATATATATGAAAGTTTAACAATGAATAAGAAAGACCATAGAAGAATTGATGCATTTGAGTTGTGTTGGAGGAGAATATTGAAAGTACTATGGACTGTTAGAAGAATAAACAAATCTCTGTTGGAAGAAGTACAGCCAGAATTCTCTTTAGAAGTCAGCATGGTGAGACTTCAAGACTTTGTCTCTCATATATCAGACATATTATCCAGAGGGATCAGTGCCTGGAAAAGGACGTCATATTTGATAAAGTGGGAAGTTGGCAGAAGAGAGAAAGACCCCCAATGAGACTGACACAGTGGAAGCATCAATGGGCTAAAGTTTAGCAACAATTATGAGGATTACTCAGGACCAGGCAGAGTTTCATTCTGTTGTGCAGAAGGTTGCTATGAATCATAACCAACTCAATAGCATCTAACAACAGCAACCTGGACAAATTATTGAAAGATTGAAAAACATCAACAAAAAGATGGGACGAATACACAAAGTCACTGTACCAAAAAGAATTTATCAATGTTCAATCATTTCAAGATTTACTATAAGATCAAAAGTGATTGTATTGAAGGAAGATGTCCAAAGTGTACTGAAAACATTGATGAAAAACAAGGCTCCAGGAATTGATGGAGTACCAATTGAGATGTTTCAACAAATTGCTGCAGCAGTGTTGGCACTCCTCTAAGCCAAGTGATTTGGAAGACAACTACCTGGCCTAGTAACTGAAAGAGATCCAAGTTTGTACCCATTCCAAAATAAGTGACTGAATGGAATGCAGAAATCATTTTGTAATGTGGTTAATATCACAAGCAAGTGCAATTTTGATAACTGAAAATAATCCCACAACAGTTGCAGCAGTATAAACAGGGAGATGTCAGAAATTCAATCTGGATTCACAAGAGAATGTAGAACTACGGGTATTGTTCTGATGTTAGATTTAAATTGTTAAAGATTTCATTTCACTTGGATCCACAATCAATGGTCCTGGAAGGAGCAGTCAAAAAACAAAATGACATATTGTACTGGGGAGATCTACTAAATAATACCACTTTAAAATGTTAGCGATTAAAGATTTTTTGTTGAGGACTAAGCTGCACCTGACTCAATCCATAGTATTTTTAATTACCTTATATACATGTGAAAGCTGGACAATGAGTAAGGAAAACTGAAGAACTGATGCATTTGAATTATGTTGAAAACAAAGAATATTGTACATAGCATGGACTCCCAGAAGAACAAATAAATCTATCTTACCAGAAGTAGAACTAGAAAGCTCCTTAGAAAGTAGGACAGAAAGACTTTGTCTCATGTATTTTGGACAGAAGGGACAAGTCTTGGAGAAGGACAACATGCTTGGTAAAAAGAGGGTCAGTACAAAAGAGAAATACCCCCAATGAGATGAATTGACACAGTGGTAGCAACAATGGGTTCAAATGTAACAAAAATTGTGAGGATGGTACATGACCAGGCAGTGTTTTGCTCTGTTGTACATAGGGTCACTAGGTCAGAACTGGATGGCATCTAACAACAAGAAATCAATGATAAAATGAATGAACTTCCACATTCCTTACAAGTAGATTTACAAAGGTGATGTGAAAAAATGACCATATTTAGTAGCTCAATTAAGAAGCAGGTTGCACATTGGGTTGCTAACCACAGGTCAGCAGTTCAAATTCAAAAGTCACTCTGAGGCATAAAGATGAAGCTTTCTGCTTCCGTAAATATTACAGCCTGGGAAAAACTATACAAGGCCACTATGAGTTATAATCAACTCAACAGTTGATCCCTTCTACCCCCAGATTCTGAGTTGAAGATTTATCCCCTAGGATCTTTGTCCCATAACTTAGAGAGGCAGCTTGAATTATGAAAATGAATTTTGAAGTTTTTAAGATATTTTTATTTGAATAACATGAGTTTTAAAATCACATTTTTGGCATTTTATTTCTCATTCTATATTGCAGCTCTTGATTGTATGTGTGTCAGACTGTTAGATCTTAGACTAAAGGCATACCATTAAAATTAAGTTTTATGCAGATATATTTGGTATTTACAAAAATTTTGATTAAATAAATGAGTGAAGAAACATGTAAAATTTATTCATGTAGGATTGAAGTTGAGCAGAATTCTGTGCTGTTCAAGTGTGATAACTAACTTTCAAATGATAAAACATGTTTTATCTAGGTCTTTCTTAGACATGGATGTAGTGTAAGGAGAACTAGAGTTCCAGTCTTTGTCCCTGAGTTAGGATGTTCATTCTGCCCTTAAATTACAATTGTACATTTTGATGAAGTCACTTAGCAACTCTAGGTCATAATTGTGGATAATATGTGGGTAATAATTATATTAAATCACTCAAGAAGCTGTAGAAGTTATAATACACATTGTTGTTTTTATTCTTAAGTGTCATCGAGTTGGTTCTGACCCATAGAAACCCTTTATAGGGTTTCCAAGGAGTGGCTGATGAGCTTGAACCGTCAACCTTGTGATTCAAATTGACTTTGCAGTCCTGCGCATTAACCCACAGTGCCACACCAGGACTCCAAAATAAATATTACTACAATTAAAAACAACTTATTTAAGCTTTATTAAACAAACAAACAGGAGGCACCTATATAATGAGGATATATTAATCCTTCTTTCCCTGGTTAGAATGTGCCTGGCTCTAACAGGCACTCAGTAATGGTAGTTATTATTGTTATATGATATATTTTATAGCCTGCCCTTCCTAACTTGAAACTAAATTCCTTCTTTTCCTTAGTCACCATTCCTCTTAATATATATATGTATATACTCACACTTTTTTTTGTAATCATAGTGGGGAAAAAATTGCTTCTTTTAGAATAATATAGAACCCCAAGAATATCCTTTTCATCTAAAACTTGATTAACTTCTTTTGTCAGTGTAAACATCTGTTTTTTATATATGCCCTAGGAGCCCCACATGAAATTCAGGATCTTCTTTCAGCACTTATTTTATTTTCATTCTGTCTTCCAAAATTCTCTTTGGCTTGTGTGTGTGAGAGAGCGAGAGGGAGAGAGAAAGAGAGATAGAAAGAGACATATTTATATCTTACAGAACTAATGATCAACTAAAGAGAAAACAGCAGGTTCACAACACAAACAATTGACCATTTTTGTTTTCAGTTTCTTGTTCTGATATCACAGTAGACATAGATTCTATCCAAATACATAATAGAAAGTGAAGACCACATGCCACAGCAGGAACACATAGCTACCAAGGTCAGCTGTTCAAACCCACCAGCTACACTTTGGAAACCCTATACAGGGTTGCTATGGGTGGAAACCGACTTGATGCACTTAACAACAACAACAATTCTACAAGGAGCTCATGTGTTTTCTAAGACAGCTTTTTCTAAGAATCGAAACAACCCAAAAATGTAAAATAAGAAGTAGATTGCCTACTTACAAGGATATAAATCAAGGAATTTTTCCATGTGTACTTGCTTGGAGATGTTGAACTGCTGAATGCTCTGATCCGTTTCATACTCAACAAATAGTCCATATAAAACAATCATGGCAACCTCCAGGCCAATGGCCATCAGAGGGAATTTGATCCTCATGTTTGCAGCAAAGTCCAGAGACACACTGAGGGATTCTCAGGCTGTGAAAGTTTGATAAGAACAGAGGGATTGATCTGTATGTGAATTAGGTTGAATGTTCAAGGCACTTGAATGACTTGGCAAAAAAAAAGGCAAAAAAAAAAAAAAAAAGGCAATGGTGTTTCAAACATCCCACCCCTTAGGAACATTATGCTTTGTAACCTAATGGCTGTTTTAAATGTTGGGTTCAAATCTTCAACCTTTCAGTTTGCAGCTGAGGGCTTGACTACTGAGCTACCAATATTGGTATGAAATTCAGTGATTCTCCTTAGGTGCTTCACTAACATTTTATTTCTAAAAAGAAACCTTAGGCTTTAGTTAACTACTCTCTCCAAGGAGAAAGCTGGAACACTTTTGGCTGTCACATGGAATCTGTTGAAAAAAGGGTTTTCTCCTTCCCACAAGGAACTTTTTACATTGTTAAACCTGGGACTCTTAATATGTTTTTGTGCTATGGATACTTTTGGCATTCTGTTAGATTTTCTGCATCCCTTCTCAAGTACAGTGAATTTTATAAATGAAAACATCCTTTTAAACAATAAGGTCATTGAAACTGTTCTGTGCTACAAAAGTACTATAACCTATTAACCTATATAATAATAAAGATCAAAAAAAATTATTTTTCAATAATTTTATATTGAAATTATACTGAATAATTTTATATCCTTCTGATATCAACATCCAACATAACTAGTGTATAGTTACTAAGCTAGAAAAATAACATTGGTTCAATTATATTAGCAAATTCTAGACTTTTCCACTAATGTTCTTTTTTGTTGTTGTTGTTCCTTCCAGGGTCCAATCCAGGAGTCCCCACTGCATTTGGTCATATGTTTAATTTTTCTTTTTTCTTGGTCTCTCCTTGTCTTTCATGACCTTTACTATTTTTAAGAGTGCTAGCTGGGTGTTTTGTAGACTGTCTCTCAATTTGAGTTTGCCTGATGTTGTCTCATGGGTTGAGTACTACAGAGATGAAGTGCCCTTCTCATTGCATCGTATCAGTGGGTACATGGCATCAATATTATAATGTTGTTGTTAAGTGCCATCAAGACAGTTCTAACTCATAGAGACCCTATATAGGGTTTCTGAGGAGTGACTGGTGAGCTTGAATTGCCGACCTTGTGGTTCAAACTGACCTTGAAGTCCAGTGCATTAACCCTCAGCATCACACCAGGACTCCAATATTATAATGATGATGTCTTATTATTGGTGATGTTAACATTGATCACTTGGTTAAGGTGGAGAAGAGTCTTAATATTAAAAATATTCACTCTCCAAAACCTTACCAAGAAAGGTGTCTCAAGCATGTTTCCTTAAAATTCACATTTGCAGTAGCTACAAAAGAGCAGTCAGAGTTAGAGACATAAAAGTTGGAGCAGAGGAGGAGGAAGGCAGGGAACTGAGACTTGTGTCTGGGTTCAAGAGATCCCGCTTGATTAGTGTCCTAGCCGTTGGGCCCATGGGAGTGTACCCAGTTTGAATTAATGGAAAGCCACTTAAACCAGGCGGAGCCTTAAGCAAGTTGTTTGTCAAAGATAAGGCTATTGGAACAGAGGGGCCTTCCAGAAAATATGACACACTTTTTTTTTTTTTTTCCTTCCAGAACTTGGTCTATTTGCCACCACATTTTATCAGTGTACCTCAGGTGGCAGAGTCTCAGCACTAATGTATCTACAAAGTGTTTGGTGGAGTTTCTAATACCTTCTGGCCCCTAATAGACCAGGATCTTTACTTATGCTAACTATAATGTCATACAAACCACAGAAGCTTTAGAGATAGTAACAACCAGACCAGTAACAACCAGTTTTAAAACAAAAACAACAAAGAGGCAAATGATCATTTACACACATTCCTCATGTCTAAATTGATATCTTGTTATACAAAGGGTTTATTAACACACACATATATAATTCCTTATAAACTTGTCTGTTAAGCAACAAGATAACAATGCATCATAGCACAGCAAAGGGTTTGTTCTTTAAGAAACCACAGCAGCAATGTTTGGTGAATGGTTATGCACAGAACTGACAGAGAGGGCAATGCTAAACATTTCTTCATAAAACAGGCAGCGTGTGCACATCAACAAATAGGAAATATTACTCTATTCTCTAAGAAACTATAGTGTACTTTAAAACTAAGTACTTTACTTTTAGACTCCATGACTAAACAATTCCATTAGCTGTTTGAAAGTCTATCTATAAACTTCTGAGCACTGTTTATTGGTTTTCAAAGTAAACTTCAAATACAAAAGCACTTGACAATTACTGCTCAAAGGCTAAAGCAAAAGTGGTTTGCATGTTACATTAAAACCTGATTCTTAAGAAAATTTAACTTAAAAGAAGATGGCCTCAATGATGTGAAATCATTTCAAAATGTGTTACTCATCAAAAATGCACTTTCACAATTTAAAAAAATTTTTTGGTTTAAAATTCCACATGTTGTGAACCAATATTTAATATTCCAAAGGTTCCATAAAACAACATCCTGGCATTGCTTTTGAAACCTAATAGCTTCTAAAGAAATAAATCAGCAAGTATGTGAATGGACTGTCCACCGTTTAACAATGTTATGTTTCAACTATGAAAACTTTATTCCAAAAATTTATTGGATGAATTCTATTTTTAGATTGGTGTAAACATTAAAAATCTATTTAACAATGTTACACAAATATTTGAAGTCCTGGTGCAGTGCTGTGTGCTAATGTGCTGGACTGCAAAGTCAATTTGAACCACAAGGTCGGTGGTTCAAGCTCAGCATTCGCTCTTCGGAAACCCAGTGTAGGATCACTATGGGTTGGAACTGACTCGATGGCATTTAACAACAATACAAATATTTAGTGGGGTTTTTTTTGGCATGTAATTCAGAGCAATGTGATCAATTATGCAGGCAATTTCCACAAATGTTTCAGAGGCAAAAGAGAAAGATTTGGGAACAGCTGGGGTGATTGAGAATAAAATGAAACCAGTTATCAGAGACCTCAATTTCAGACTTAATCCTCAAAAAATAATATACTATATTACCATCATTCTTTGTGAGACTTCAGATAAGACACTGATACTTGCATATTTTTGAATGCTCAAAGCTTTTAAATTTTTTAATATTTGCCATAGGCTAGTCCATCTCCTATTGAGAGTATGAAAATGTACTTGTGGCATAGTTCTGATAAGTTTACTTCAAAAGTACTATAACAGGAAAAAGATCAGGAACATTGTTGTTGTTGTTGTTAAGTACCATGGAGTCAGTTCCAACTCATAGTGACCCTGCACAGGGTTTCCGAGGCTGTAAATCTTTTTAGGAGCAGAAAGCCTCATCTTTATCCTGCAGAACGGCTGGTAGTTTCCAATTGCTGACCTTGAGGTTAGCAGCTCTAAGAACATTATACCCCATTAATAATTTTGTGTAAGACACTATATTCCCTGCCTCTCTTAGATGCCTTAGAAACATGTAATATGGCATCTGTGTTGTGTGTGTGTGTGCAGAAATTTTTTTTAAGTTTCTTAAAAGATGCAATTATTTTATAGAATTTTCGTATTGACGTGAGTGATGTTTTTCCTTTTTCTAGTTGAAAATTATAGCATGGTGAGTGTGGGCTATTAATAATATGCTGGGGTGATATATTCCTCAAGTAAATTAAGCAGAGCACGTCTTAAAATTTTATAAAATAAGACATTCTTGAAGAATAAATATCAATAAACAATGCCAACATGTATACATTTGTATGGATCAATTTCAAATAATTTGGAGGTTGCAAATTTGAGGAGATTTTCAGTCATCATATCATGTTAATACTGACATGATAGGAATCTCAGTTGAAGGAATATTTCAGAAAATATTAAATCTAAACCTATATAGACACTTCCGCACAGCTCAAAATCTTAGCCTATGAAAGACCCAATTTAAATATCCCCCTAGTACCAAGAAACTTCTGAGGCTTTGATTTTTTCTAACTGATGACCATTTCAATGTGATATTTAGCTAGTATGGAGCATTAACATGTTTGAAATTCATGTCAGTTTGGGTGCTCTAGGATCAGCAACTGGACTGTGAACCACAAGGTCAGCAGTTCAAACCCACCAGCTCCTCCACAGAAACCCTATACAGAATCACTCAGAACCAACTCAATAGCACTTAACAACAACAGCAATAGTCACATAAAAATAGAAAATTGCATCCATTAAGGGAATGAAAACTTACAGATTGCCTTCACACTCAGCTGCTAGGAAGTTCTCCTACAGATTATTTTAAACTAAAATTATGCTCTTTGAACTCACTTTTAGCATAGGCAAAGAGGTATAATACAACTTGGGACTGGTCAAGTGAACTGTTAGTATGCAAACAAAACCATCTGTATGAAGTATGAGGTATCAAATAAAATGACACAACATCATAAAATAGAAGTGATATTTTAAAATGACTACCTAGTTCTTGAAGGAGCATAGCATAGTGGTTACAAAACAGGCTGCTAACCTCAGGGTCAGCAGTTCGAAGCTACCAGATGTTCCTTGGGAGAAAGATGAGGCTTTCTGCTCCCATAAAGGTTTACAGCCTCGGAAACCCTGTACAGGGTCGCTATGAGTTGGAACCCACCTCACGGCATATAACAACAAAAACAACAACAATTAGTTCTTGAGAAACAAAGGTTACAAAACATAAAAATAATTGGATTAATAAACTGGTTTGGCACTTTATTCTTCTACAAAGCAGTTAACACAATACACAGAAAAGCCCTTAACCTGTATCTCTTTTCTCTAGTAAACACTCTGTCCAAAATTCAGGTAAAACAAACATGGAAACCTAGCAAGAACTGCTTTACAGTTAAGTGGACATTTTCACCCACTGTATTTTTTCCTCAATGCCAAATACCATTCAAGTACTTGCTGTTTGTGAAGTATTTTCTTCAGAAGCATGTCTTGAGCATGAAGCTAGAACTTAGATTTCAAAGTTAACAAAACTAAAATCCT